AAGTCGTTCAACTCATCCTTGCAATCATGCTACTGAAAAGCTCAGCTTGATTTTTAGCATATTCCCTTTGCTTATCTTTCAGCTCCTTGTATTCAAGTTTCACTTCCCTGGTGGTGCAAGGAGAAAAATAATTATATAAAGGAAAAAAAAAACAAAAATATAATAAAACTGCCAATTTTATAAAAAAAAAAAATCAAACTAACGAGTATTTAGTCCAAAGATTTAAATAATATCCATTACATAACATAACGGCTGTTATATAATGTTTTTGAAGCATTCTACTATTGTTATTTGGTATGATATAACAACCACAATCATTATTTTACTATTATGGTAAGTTACAATACGTGATTGTGACCGTGATCGTTTTTTCAATCGCATCCGCAATTTAAAATTATGCTTTAATCTAATGAACAAAAAAATAAGTTTCAAGTTTAAGTCATGTGTATTCATTATAAATCGTGACTTATTACGAGTACTAAAATAACAATAACAGAATGTTTCGAAGCCATTATATAATGATCGTTATATAGTATAACGAGTCGTTATTTAAATCCATAGTGGCAAATTTTTCATTTTTTATTTAAAAAACATGCAAATAAATATGTTGGCTTGAACACTGACCTATTGTTTGGATCGATGGCTAGAGCTTTCTTTATATCTGCCTCGGCTTTCTCTAATTCAGATGTTCTCAAGTGTGCTTGTGATCGTCTGAATAGAGCTTTGACATTCCGTGGATCACGTTCTAAAACCTATCATGAATAAAACATGATTTTTATGGAGGAAGAAACATAGCTGAATGGAATTTTTAGCTAATTAATTTGAGAGAAATAAACCTTTGAGCATAGTCTTGAAGCTTCAAGGTACTCTCCTAATTTAAGCTTACAAGCTGCATTATTCAAATAACATGATAACCGCAAGCCTTTTGCTAGGTACATTTCCTCATCAGTGAAAGTGTGATCGAACTCGATATATTTTGCAGCCTGAAAATTTGTAGCTACGTAAATGTAGCAGTTTAAATGCTGAAAATATGATAAAAATTTCATTAATGATGATGGATTTTTCTCAGTTTCATTGCTTTCAGACTTGCCTTCTCGTATTTCTTAGAGGCACGCCAGAAGTTTCCATTCTTGAATAGCAAATTGCCGTCGAGCTTCTTCCTTTCACTTGCTTCTAATTTCTCAGTTGTATCCATTTTCCAAAATGGTTTCTCCTGTGCAAAGGTCAGAATTGTGCATTTGTCAGAAAATACCAAACAGAACAACAGATGCTATGATCATAAAAGTGAAATTTAAGAAAGTTCAAGCAGTTTGAACAATAACCTTAATAAAATCAATCAGCTCAACTTCGTAACGAAGGAAGGAATTTGCAGGAAGCATTCCTGAAAGATCTTGGCTGCGGAGATATTCGGCATCTAGTGTCACTGTGGCATTTTCTCCTTTCTTCATGGTCATAATGGCTCTGTCTAAACCCTCGCTCACTTGTTCTGGAATCGTAAGGACCAAAAATATACTAATTTTGCACAAAATTTGATGCTTATAGATCATTGATGCAAGAAATAGGCATGTGAAAATTACAAAATACCTTCCAAAGTTATGAATTCAAAAGGTTCTTCATTTGTCCCCTTCCTGTCGAAAACTGTTCCATCTTCAAGTTTGCCTACATATGTCACTGAAAATATAGAAATCCCATATGAAATTGCATCATTGTGGCCTTCCAATCTGAAAGCTACTAGTCATATGAGGAATTACCTTTCACTTGGGATCCTTCAGTCGGACGATCAAATCCTTCACCGGCTTTTACAATTTTTTTAAGGACCTTCTTGTCTCCTGTGACATCAATGACACTTCTCCATGATACAAGCACAAGTTGGATGGTTAAATTAGAGTCAGGTGGAATGCTACTCTCTATGTCAGGAGCTAAATTTCCCTTTTGAATGAAGCCATCTGAGGAAAAATGATCTTAGATCAATTAATGACCACATAATAAGAAGAAGATACCAAAAGAATGGAAATCATCCAGCTAGGAAAAAGCGAACAGACTTACAAGAAAATTTTACTGCTAGCTCTGAATTCTCACCCTTTCTCATTGTCTTCACTGCTCTGCTCAAGGCAGGACATAGATAATCTGACTCAAAAGCAGTATAGAAGGATTAGTTTCACCAGAAATGAAACCTTCAAATTTCTAAGACATTAACATGAATGTTATTAATAAATACACTTACCATCTCCTACATGAAACTCCACACCTTCCTCGGATTTGGAGACAAGCATTCCATTTTCAAGCCTTGCCTCATACTTTACTACAGGGATAGAAAGGCATCACTATTTTACAGATACATTTTTCAACAAGTTTAGAACCATAATTACAAGGGCAGAAGTTTACCTAAAACTTCATCTCCATCTCTTGGTGTAGCCCATCCTTCACCCTCCTTTATCATCTTCTTCAATATTCCTCCATCACCTGTTAAATCCCTGATGCTACTCCATGAAAGCATCTCAATATCAAAAACAAGAGTTGCATTGGGAGGAATCAGCGATGGAGAACCAGCCTCCTTATAGGCCAAGTTTGGCGGTATCGTAAAAATTGCTCTCTCACTATTCTTCATTGTGGCAACTCCTTCATCCCATCCTTTAATTACTTCGCCTAAAGCCCAAGTACCAAACAAATTCATATTATACATATAACAAAAAACATAGATAGAACCACCATTGATATGGATTGTTTACCTTGGCCTAATTTGAACTTGAAAGGAATCCCTTTATCGCGACTTGAATCAAGGCATGCCCCACCTTCAATGTGTCCACCGAAATGAACTGAAACAGTGGTATGGGTTCCCAAGAAATTTCATGTCAGCCTTCTTGTTGAAATTCTAAAACCATAGTTCTTCAAGTCCCATTTAGCTACTTCATCAAGTGAAAAACCAAAAAAAAAAAAAAAAAAAAGCATAGACAACAATTTCTGGGTTTGTTTTTTCGTTTTTTTAGTACCTTCCACTTCATCTCCTGGAAATGGAGTTTGCCATGAAATTCCCTTCTTGACAATCTTTTTCCTTAGGCCTTGGCTTCCGATTTTAGTCTCGGGCAATCCCGAATTTTCTGTTTGGGTTCCATTTTCCAAAGAGGAATTCAAGGACAAGTGTTCCATTTGAATTGAGAGTTGTAGATAGATAAAGAGTGTATGTGTGTGTGTGTGCTGAAGTTGAAGATAAGCCGTTGTTGGTTTCCCTCCTTTTATTGCCTTTCAGTTGAGATTTTGCTGTTAGGAGAAGGAAATGTGATGCGTTTGATAGAGGGTAAATTATAAATTAGTCCTTCTAGTTTTATAAAACAAACCAACTAATCATATTTTTCAAAAACTAATTAATTCATCTCTTGACCAGTGTTGATTATGATTAGTTTAATATTATCTTGTTTTTTTTAAAAAAAAACTTTTTTATCAATTCTTTCATATTTTTATTTATTTTTACATTTTGAATTCCTTAAAAAATTTGAAAAAATTTAAAATGAATAAAAATAATTAAATTAAAAATAGATTTAAAAATAAAAGGACTGATTAATTTATTTGAAAACTAGAGAAAACATTTAATTCATTTTAAAACACTAGAGGGACTAATTTATAATTTACTCGTTTGATAGAGCTAGGCAATTGACCCTCGCCTCCAAGTTCACTTGGTTTGGGCTAGACAAACAAATTCAAACGGTTTGTGTTTGGGCTATCCAACTTTTTAGCCTGTTAAGACCAATCTGAGCTGAATCTAAATTTTAAGGCCTGTTAAAATGTGGATAATCTATCCCAACTTGGGTCTGTGAGATTGCCTTCTGCTGAAAAAAAATAGATTCAAATAATATTTATTTATTATCTAAAAATGAAAAATAGAATGGGCCATAGGCCTAGAGTCTCTTGCTAGAGAGATTTCAAAAAGTAGCCTAAACCCATTTTTGTGAAATGAATTTGGCTAAATCGCATTGTTTTCATAAATCACTTGAATAAATGTTTGTGTTTTCAATTTAATTAATTAAGCACGCATATTTTTAATTTTAATTATTTGAGTATTTTTTTCCTTAGTTGGAATAAAAATATAATATATAAATGTATAGATACTGTATGTAGGTCTCATTTTATACAATTATATTATTATTTTTATTCGAATTAACATATAAAAATTATTGATTTTGTAAAAACGGAAATTAAAAATACATCTGTTTAATCTATCAAATTAGAAATATATGAGTTTATTTGACGGATTAAAGAAAACACAAAATACAAATAGTAGATTTGCCAATAAATTTTAAAATCATATGTGTAATCTCCTCTTATTTTTGTTGTTTAGAATGTTGTGGTAAATCCGTACACATTTTATCTTCCAAATAAAAATCCTTATCCTGCAAGTCTCTCTCCCCCGCATTCAATTCGATTCATGTGATGCAATATTCTTTACGTGAAAGAAAACAAAATTGTGCATCTGGGGAAAATATTTTGAAGATGTAAACTTCAACATCAAGGCTTGATTTTTTAAGACTTATAAGGTATCTCTTATTATTCGATTGAATGCATAAAATAGATACAATCTTTTTTTATATTTTTAAAATATCCCGGACTCAAAAGTTTAGATTAATCTCTCATTGTTCGATCGGAGTCACAAAATAAGTATAACTATACAAAGAATTTTCTAAATACAAAAAAATTTGAATTCGAAACCATTTGTTTAAACGATTAAAATTTATTCCACTCAAGCTAATTATATTAAGTGACATAAAATGATTTTATAGTCTCTAATAACATCTCACTGTAATTTATGTACGGAAAACATTGCATTGATCCAAAGCTCTATTCAAGCATAATAATTTATCATCACCACGGTTTACTTTAAAAAGAAAAAAATCATGAAACATTAACACTATGACTTAATCGATCTAAAAACAAAAGCAATAACCTAGGCTTAAAGGGTAGAAAAGTCTAGCACCGGCAACCCTGATGGTAATTAGGGCAATTGAAGTTCAGCATTTGAGCATATTGATGACCTCTCTAATGCAAGGACGATTATTTGGGTTTGGATTAGCACAAGCAAGGCCAACAACAATCAATCGTTCCATGTCTTTCTCATCACAGCTTAGGCGTAAACGTGGATCAGCAACAGCAGAAATATTCTCTCCACTTACACGTAATTTCTCCCAAACCCAATCCACTAACTTGATCTCAAATTTCATACCATTTTCTTGAATTCTTTCTACAGCTCGCCTTCCACAAGCCATTTGTAAAAGCACCACACCAAAGCTGTAAATATCTGATTCTTTGGTGGCTTTCCTACTTTTTTCGCACTCTGGTGCTAGGTACCCTGGTGCCCCACTCAAAACAGTAGGATAACCTGATTCTTGCCCACGTTCCGCAGGTCTTGCCAGGCCAAAATCACAGAGCTTGGCATTGAAATTTGTCTCCAACAAAACATTGTCTAGTTTGATATCGCAATGTAGCACTGATTGCTCGCACTCTTCGTGTAAGTAAAGCAATGCTGAAGCTAAGTCCAAAGCGATTCTCTTTCTTAGACCCAAATCCAAAAACCCTATTTCATTGAAAAGATGATACTCCAAGGTCTTGTTTTCTACAAGTTCGTAAACAATGAGAAGTTCTTTCTTGATCTTGCCGCACCAGCCAATGAGATTGACCAAATTTTTATGCTGCAATTTAGTTAAGATCTTCACTTCTGGTAGGTATGACTCTATGCCATACTTAGAACCAACTACCACCCTCTTCACTGCAACAAAGCAGTTCAACTCCTTTAAAAATCCCTTAAAAACTGAACCAGTTGCTCCTTCCCCAAGTTTGTCCTTCTCTGAGAAGTTATTAGTGGCACAAACCAATTTTTCGTATGAAAACTTCTGAAGGTCGATGCAACTTTCATCCATGAAGAAATTATGGGGAGAGAGAGGGGCTTGATTTTGAAAGCAATAAGGGCTAGATGAAAAGGTCTGTTGTGAAAGGAGTTTTTTTTTTTACAAATGGCAATGAGCATTAGCAATGGACTTCTACTCGAACATGTAGCCTCGTTGTTTAGCTTTATATAGAGAGATTCTTGTAATTAATTATTTAATTTTAACTATGAAAAATAGTATGGTGAGATTTGAATTCATACCCTCTAATACTATACTAAAGAGTCATTTCAACATAAAAATAAATGATTGGATGATACTTAATTTACAAAGAATTTTATATTATTTTCTCACTTTATTAGACTACGTGCTACTAAGAATAAGAGTAATGAATTGAATTTCAAGCATTTGATATACTCTACGATATGGAATTCAAATGACTTTACACCAAAATTAAACTCTAAAAACTCTAATAGCAAGAATTTTTGTTCACGTTTAGTCACTTCCTTTCTTGTGCAATAAGTTGGTTAAGCTTCCTCGAAATAGAAAAAAGTTGAAGTTAACTAGCTAGTAAGGACCAGAAAACTTTGAATTCCATACATGCATACTTACTAAATATATGGAGTATACGCAATGATATTTGAGATAGAAACCTTATAGTATTGGAACACACAAAATAAATTTCAAAAGTTCAAAATATATGTGACTTTTGCTTGGGGCACGGTTCTCAATTAATTGGACAACGAGTCAATGGGAACAGAAATAGGCAAAGTTCAATCGAAGAGCTGCCGGCAGGTTTTCATGATCTTTACCTTTCCGGGAAGTCGTTGTTGACTCTCTCACCGGGTGCATTAAGGGAATGTTCTTCATAAAGTTCTGTTTCTTTATAAATAAATAAATTAGTCCTTTATTTTCTAACTTTATTAGACTACGTGCTACTAAGAATAAGAGTTATTGAATTGAATTTCAAGCATTTGATATACTCTACGATATAGAATTCAAATGATTTTACACCAAAATTAAACTCTAAAAACTCTAATAACAAGAATTTTTGTCCACATTTAGTTACTTCCTTTTTTGTGCAATAAGTTGCTCAAGCTTCCTCGAAATAGATAAAAGTTGAAGTTAACTAGCTAGTAAAGACCAGAAAGCTTTGAATTCCTTACGTGCATACTTACTATATGGAGTATTTAAAACTCTTTGTACGTACCATAATATTTGAGATAGAAACTTTAGAGTATGGGAGCATATAAAATAAATTTCTAGGAAAATAAATTTCAAAAGTTGAAAATGTATATATGACTTTTGCTTGGGGCACGGTTCTCAATTAATTGGGCAACGAGTCAATGAGAATATAAATAGGTAAAGTTCAATTGAAGAGTTGCCGGCAGGTTTTCATGATCTATACTTTCGGGGAAGTCGTTGTTGACTCTTTCACCGTGTGCATTAAGGGAATGTTAATCGTAAAGTTTTGTTGCTTTATAAATATGTGAGTAAATTATAAATTAGTCCTTTTTTTCAAAATTAATCAAATAGTCCTTTATTTTCCAAAAATATTTAATTAATATTTATGCTTTTAAATCTACTTATAACTTAATCTCTTTCATTTTTTTTAAATAAGTAAAAAAAATATATATAGAAGAAAGTTAATAGTGAGAAAATAAGATATTTTTTAAAATAAAATAATATTAAAATAATCATAGTCGACACCGATTAAGAAAGTAATTAATTAGTTTTTGAAGAAAAAAATTAATTAATTTTTTTTGCAAAACTAAAGAGAATAATTTATAATTTACTCTACATATGTTGAATGCAACTTTGTAGATTATGAGCTCACTACAGTGTGAATCTTCGGTGCCAAAAAAATTAAAGTTGGCTAGAATGAAAGTACACTTATTTTAGGGTTATTATTTACTTAGATGAGGTATATTCATTTTTTTCCTAATCCTAAAACAAGTAATAGAACCTCTAATCCCGTTAACTAAGAGTGTGAACTATAATTTATTAAAAATAAAGGTGCTAAGTGTTATTGTGTTATTAAGAAAAAAGTAATTGCAGAAGAGTGCAAGCTCATGAACAACCACAGCGCAATTATATCACTCTTTTTTTTTTCATAAAGAATTGCAATCAATAAATTAAAAAAATAAATTGAATACTACACGTTTAATTAACCTTAATTCTTGAATGAATTAGCCTAGCCTAGCTAGTAGTGCTTTACAACTTTTTGAATTAATTATGCAAATTAAACTTGATCAGGTCTTAGATTCCATTATAAGCATTATTAGGTGCGAACTTTGGCCCACTAACTTTAGTGCAACATTTATTCATTATATATATATATGTGTGTGTGTAAAACAAGGATTAGCTAGCTAGTAGGTCAATCAGGATATCTTAAATTTGTGATTATTCATAACGGTATATAAAAATATGAATTCCATAAAACTTTTAATTTGATGGATTATTGTACATGCATTTAATACGATATATATATATATATAGTAACATAATTCTTTTTTTTATTTTAATGTCATATCATCTGACTTTTTCATACTTTTGTTTTCGACAAACGTTAAAGCAATGTGTTATTTCAATTAATAGATATGTTTTCATTATTGTCTTAAGAAAAGTAACCAACATGTTTTTTCTTAATAGATTCCTTCTCTCTCTCTTTTTTTTTTTTTTTTTCCCAACATGATATCATGTTAGTAATTATTTTATTAAAGTAAAATAATCGTACCCTATCAATTGAGGTTCATACATTTTTATCTTACTACAGTGCAATGCATGGTTGAAGTAGTACGTTAATTAGATTTAATTAAAGTGAACAATCACAAGATTTTATATTAGAATGAAAAATCACATCTTTTTTTTTTTAAAGTGTATATATCCATTTACCACTTATAGAAGAGGATAAAAGTTATTTTATATACATCATTTTATTTGCATTTTGAGAAAGGTTTTTTTGGTGTCCAACCTTTAATATATATATATATATATATTTTTTTTTTTTCATGTTTTGATGTCCAACGAGTTGATTTCTCATAATTGACTATCCAAGTTTTGATTTTTTTTTTAATTATTATTTTGATGCCTAAGTTCACCTAAAATGTGATTTTATTCACATGTTCGGCTAGATCCGCCATGTGACGATTACAAGCTGACATATCGGCAAAAACCCAAAGATTGCAAACTAAGCTAGTTCGGCCTAATATTTATGTTCCAACTAAACTAATAGACAAAAAAATGACAAAGAAAGGTGGGAGTTTTCCCACTTTTGTTGGATGTCCTTATAAAGATAGTAAAATGGGCGATCATTGAATTAAGCTTTTTAAGCTTCGACTTCAAATGAAACCAAAAAAAAATTCCCAAAAACAACTCAAAAGAAATGTTAGCTAGAATCTGCAATTGTGGAAAAGATTTGGTGATGTGAACTTCATGGACTAACGATAATCTAGGAATAAGATTCATCACATGTAGGAGAAGAAGATACAATGTTTTCTAATGTGTTGATCCACCCATTTGTAATCATGCAAGGCGAGATAGATTATTCATGGCTTGTTGAGAAGAGTAAATAATCTTGAATCCGATAAAAATTCTAAGAAGAAGAGCATTAAAATTTTATGATATTTTCTGCTACCTTTTTGGGTGTTTGTAATTTACAAGCTCCTTTGATGAAGGAAAATATGAGCTTATCGGTTTCGTTGCTCATATAAACACAAAATAAGAAGTTGTATTCAAAACTTTAGCTACACTCAAAATTTTTTTATGCATGTTCATTGTTTGCATTAGAAATTTGTATTGCACTTTTAGCTAATTTAGATTTTTCTTCAACCTTATGTTGTTTGAAATAATTGTATAATTCATTTGACTCTAACTCTGTGCCGCTATTAGCATCTAGATTTTTCGTTTGAACTAGTTTCTTTTCTCTTCGTTGAATTCAAATCTTTCAAGTGTTGGGGTGTGATAACTGTATAATTTGTAGTTGGAGCACGGTAACTACCCTAAATAAAATTCTTTGGCTTCTTATACCAGCCTACAACATGAAAGATAAATTCAACGACCATAACCATAAACTAACTTGCACATTTATATCGGAATATTAAAACTCACTTTGATGATTATATTGGCATTATGTGGCATTGCATTTATACTAACTTATGTACCATATAATTCACTTGCATATTCCTAACTTCCATTGTTATCTCCAACCTCATTATAACCAACACTAATAGCAATACCTCTAGCTTCATCAACGGAGGCGGTATGCGAGTAATTTGTTAGTCTTTCATTACTCCTAGTAGTTGGAGAAGCTTTTTTTTCCCCCTTATGCTATACATGATAGAAAATAGTTAGTCCAAACCATTACTTATAAATAAACACCAATTACAAAATTGAAATAGATGTGTGACTTAAAAATTGTTCTCTTTCTCTAGCTGTGTAGTCGGGATTCAATTTATTTGAGCATGACACTTTGTTATGGACTTATTGATAGCGAGGCTAGGCATCTCATCCTCATACCCTTCCTTGACGAGTTAGGTACCATTGTGAGTTAGCTCTCTAATTTCTTTAAATTTGTTATTTTTAGATCTTCCTAGCATTTTCTTAAATGGAGGTGGTTGTGTTGGTGGCTTCATTATCTATTTCTAAACTACTCTCCATTAAGTGGTTGCTTTACAAACTAGTATGCTATGCTTCTATATATTTGACTTTTGCTAGCTAATCAAACATACATGCTTCGATTCATACTCTCCTCTATTAAAGATTGCACGCATGGCATGACAACATGGGATTCTAGTAGCGTGTTTTACTACCATAAAATTATCTATTTATTTTTCCTCATTAGACTTAATTACAAAACTATAGCTAGGGTATGCAAAAGTCAATCCCGTAAAGAATCGATTCAATCAATTTATCTGTTGTTTGGTTGTTTTAAAGTAAAGGAAAGGAGAATGAGGTGAGGTTTGTTTGTTGAAAGTAATAAAAAATCAAAATTAAGCAAAAAGATAAACAAAAGAATTAAAGGCCTTAGTTAAAGG